TATGCAGTACTCCATACCTATAAAAAAAGGTTCATGGACACCTCAAGAGTAAAAAGAGGACCATAAAGTAGGGATGAGCATTTGGACCAGTAAGCCGGCAGTAACCGAAATCAGATAAAACCGATCGGGCCGCGAACAGGACGATATTCATGTGGATGTTTGGAACCGGAAGCCGATAGGAAACAGAAGCGGTAGAGCTGGAAAAAATCGGAATCATATATTGCTATTTCTCAAGGATCGGTTCCAACATTAAAGACACGACAAGAACCGATAGGAACCGACGGTCCGATTCTGTTCCTATTTTCCACCAATTACGGTTCCCAGACCGGTTCCGGTTTCAGCCGGACTGGTTCTGATACTCATCCTTACCTTAAAGACTACAAAAGACAACAAAAGTAAATCGGAACAAACATTGAATGCGATAAAATAACCATATATTACGTACATTTCATTATGTAGAGGGTGGTATGTTTTACATCTTCATTATTATGTAGAGGGAGGTTCGTTTTATAACTTATATTACGTACATTTCATATATTTCTTTTAAATAAACTCATATATTACATCTCTCACACCTAGTAAAATATATAACACAAAACATCTCAAATGTTTTTGAAACACATTATTTTTATTTTTCGTTTTTTTTTTAAATGTAAAAAACTAAAAGGGTAAAAGTAAACGTTGTTGAAATTCTTTTTGTACCTTCAAGTTCAACCACTTTAGAAACATGTCACCATACAAAATCAAAAAGGAACCGAAGCAGGAAGCAAGAAAAAAAATGAAATGAAGCAACCATCCTATTGAACTTATTGGAGTGCTAGTTGGTACATGTTGCAACATTTCAGAATGTGTTAGAATAGATTAATTATCACTAATGTTTTAACGTTTTATAATCATTGAACTGTCTACCACCTCAACTAAAGGATAAAGATATATATTTTTCATGTTCTAAATCTTAGTAGGATTAGGATCCTATTCTTACAATCACCATCTTGCAAGATGTTTACAACCTTGGCATAATTGCTATAAGTCATTACATCAAATTAGCTAGTTCCATGATAAAAACAGCATCTATCTCATCAAGACAAATAGTAGACCCAAATCACATAAAATCAAGCTACCACATACTTATTTAGGGTAACAGAACACATTTCATAACAGATAAGACCAACGAAAACCCTAATTGCTGTCTGATTCATCTACTAAATCCATGGGAGCAGGTTGCGCATTCTTGTAGCCGGTTTTTTCATTTTGATACCTTTTTCTATCTGCCACTGCTCTTGCTTCATACGGTGCCTTCTCTTCTGCTGTCAACTTATTCCATCGCTCTCCAAGTTCCCTCCCAATTTCCTTAAATCCGATTCCCGGAATATCCTTCTTCAGATTCTATACAAAACATAAATACATAATCTCTCAGCTTTATAACAACACAATCATATAACTAATTACTACAATTTTTATTTATTTATTAATTTAACAAAACAAAACCCACCTCTCGTTCAAGCTGCGAGAAGAACATGAACCCACTCATTGCTCTTTTGGGTGCATTTGGATCCTTTTTCTTCTTTTGTTTCTTTTTCTTTCCACCATCTTCGTCCCCTCCCCCGGCCCCACCTTTGCTTTTCTTCTTACTTGAAGACGCTGCTGCTGCTTTCGAACCACTGGCTTCTTTCTTCGATTCCTTCTTAGGAATTCTCTGTTGCTATCAATCAATAATCATTCACTTCATGCTTTTAATCTCTAATTGTCAAATGCATTATTATTATTTTTTTACTCAGGGACCAAAAATGTAATCAACTAATTACCTCCTTTTCACCTCCACTGTCACTACCATCGGAGTCATCTCCTCCAGAATCATCAGTAGGTGAGCCTGAATCATCTTTTTCAGCCACAAAATCTTCATCCTGTCACAAACAAAGTCAGTCAAACTATTATTGACTGTGGTTGTGGTTTAAGATTTTTAAGGTTTACCTCCTCATCACTCTCTTCTTCACCAGCTTCATTCTTGATTCGTTCAAGATGAGGGTCAACCGCATCATCTTCCTCATCCCTTAGAACAGCCGCAACACCATCTGCAGCTTGAACACCGCCTCCCAAGTTCATGATTTTCAGACCCTTTGAGCTAAATTAACCATAACTCTTCTTATGGTTAGGATATCTTCAAACCAAGAAAAAACATTAGTTATACCAACAACTCACCTGATAAAATCAAACAGGTTATGATATTCGTTTCTTTGAATGTTACGGAAGAGATGTTCGTGTTCTGTCTTCAATCTGATAAGAAGATCAAAGTAATGCATGTTTGATCCTCCAGCAGCATGCCTCTCAAATTCCACATAGTCAATCTATTATAATAACACAACAAATTAATTAACGACAACATTTAATATGTGCTATGCTAGTATGGATTACATAATAAGACATCATCAATTCAATACCTCATCATGAAGAATTAGTGTCGGAGGTTTTGGTAAGAAGAAAAAGCTCTTTTCAAGAGGATAAAGAACTCCATCTTCAGCTTTTAATGAAGACTTCACAGCATAACCATCCTGACAGCTCCGGAACTTTCCAGGTCTTGTGAGCTTTGTACCAGATAACCCTCGCAAGATCATTGTGAACACTTCATGAATCAGTCCCTGTTCATTTCAGTTTCAAGGGTAAATTTGGAATTTCATCAGACTTAATACCATAACCATGAACCAACTATCAAGTATACCTTATATGATGGTTCTAATTTGTCTTTGTATTTGCTAGAATACAAGTCTTCATTCATCATCAAAGTGCTCTCCACCACATAATCAGTTTCAAACTGAAACAACAAAAACAGAAACATCATCATCATATGCAGGACCCCCGGTTTGTGAGAGGATAATTTGAAAGCCTGTGAAAAAATAGTACCTGCATTACAATATGTGGATACATTGTTTGACCTTTACGGATAGGAGGGTCCAGGGTGACAACAACAAACGTGTGAGGTTGGTTAGACTGCATCAGCAAAGAGGGTAATATAGTCATTTTAACCAATGACAAGAACTTATCATGACTTAAAACAACTATTGGTGTTGTGTAAAGGAAGAACAAAAAAGAACCTTAGGCAAAACAAAAACGCGGACTATGCTGCTGTATTGAATTTTGAAATCAGTGGCTTGCCCTTGAAGCCGTAAAAAGGAAAGGTGAAGTTCAACACTGTATCGACCCCTGTAAAATCAAGAAACTTCCATTATAGTCCTTGAAAAACAGGATGAAAATTACATGGGAATAGAGGCCATACCTTGGTGTAAGAATGGTAATGGTTTCAAATGTGACAACAGCTTCTTCACCTCCAGCCCCAACATCCGCCATGGACATGATTTTATCTCGGAAAATCTTATAAAATGTAAAAGAAAAAAAATTATAAAAGATATAAAATGGAACTGCAAATGCAGCAAATGAAGAAATTCATGCAACTTACTTGTGCAGGGGGGTGATTATCATCCCCAACAAACTGAGTGTTTGAGCTGGGAATGTGGAAACTCATTTCCATCAAAGAATCTTTCTGTATTACCAAAAAAAATGCATTAATTGTAAGGAAAAACAAGGCTTCAAAGTATTAAAAACAAGAATCTGGCAGAAAAAATAAGGAAGAAAAGATGTGAGACCTCGTTTGCACCAGTTGTGTCATCCACATGGAACTCCAAGATGACATCATTTTTTCCTTGAAGCTGTGTCTGGGACACATCAGCTAATGATACTTCAAATGCTTGCTTTCCACCAACAAGAAAAGAAAGCATATTGCCTGGATCATATTTAGAAAAACATATAATAGAAAAATCAATCAGAGGATCTACTAGATGCATATAATAGAGATTACAAACCATTTATATCAAGTTCTCCCCAATTCTTTCCACTAACTGAAAGCTGCTTCTCTTCTGGTGTTATGCCACAAGAGTTTTGGAAAAAATTGGTCAGGCTAGGCACATCCTGCAAGCAGAGTAACAAAAGATTGTTACTTGTGAATAAAATCAGTTCATGAAATTCAGCCTGCATCATTGAGAAAATGCAGTAAGGGAGAATGGAAAAGATACCTGATCACGGAAACCAGTGAATTTATATTTGAGGCCATCTTTAATCTGCACACCAAGTTGATTGCTTCTTGGCACCTTCATCCATGTTATTCGCACAATATCAGACTTATCTACTTCCACAGCTTTGCCACCACCTTGTTTCTTCCACACCAAACCACGTGAATGAACCCTAAGTTGCCCTGGATTCTGCATTTAACAGTAATAGCTGGTTAACAAAATTTTCCCTCTGAAGTTAACATATTCAACACTATGACTAACCAGACACTAGAAAGTAGAAACAAACTCCTTAGACTTAAAGAGCAAAACAAGCAAGTGAGCAAAACCTAAGAGAATTTGGTGAAGCTTCACATAGATGCGCTTAAACATATTTCCTGAATTTCACCAAATTTAAGGGGAAAGGGCTTAATTCCAGTTCAAGCTATCATATATCTACTATGATTCCACCCTCCAAGTGAACAACACTGTTCTAAACATATAACACAAACAGCCGTCGAATAGAAAACCAGAAACAAACATCACACATGGACCAAATAGAGAACGGAGTTTTCTGCGCTTTGTGCCCCAAAATCAACAATAATCAAAATTCCGAGTTAACACGAAATAAAACCCTAAGACAAAGATAAAAACAAAATAAAAACCGAGTCCACCTAGTTGATTGAAAAAAATTATATGTATACACATAAACCGTACATGTTCGTCGCTGTTCCACCGTAAACTAGGGTTAGGGTTTTGAGCAGAGTAAAGTAAGTTTAACACGAAAAGAAAATAAGAAACGGAATGAATATGGAAATGAATAACTTACGGCGCCGCCGCGACCGACAAGAGAGATGTTATTGAACAAGTGACCGTCCGCCATGGTTACAGAGAAGAAGCTAGGGTTTTGATCGAGTAGTAATGGCTTAATAAAGCTGAAGAGCAAATGGGAGTAACGGGTTAATGGCGCGAAAGAGGAAAGATGTTGGGATTGGATCAAATGCACAAGAGCCCCATGAGAAGTTCGTGTTGCCTCGCCTTCTAAAACTTTGCCGCCTTATTTACAGCGACGACCCGATGATCGATGAGGTGGGCTCCCGGATAAAGCTTGTCGTATGTTTCTTTGGGCTTCAGCCCATAACCTACTTAATCACGAACATTTAACCGTACAAGAGAACGGCACGTGTTTTGCACGTGCCTTGCATTGAGGGTTTTTTTTTTTTTTTTTTGCCATTACTGTGTAGTGGTCAAAACTAAATGGTACAAAAAAACATTCTTTTTACATAGAAATTTGATTTTAACACCGTGTTTTTTTGTGTTAATTTCGACACTGTGTTTTCCAATTTGTTACAATTCTGACCACTTGACCGGTTAATCCGGTTACATGTTGACGTGGCATGATGACGTGACATGCTGACATGATATGCTGACGTGTCAAAATTGATTTTTTTTCCACAAAAAACACGAAATTTTTACTTTTTTTCGATTTGAACACTAAGTTTAATTTTTTATTTCAATTTTGACACTATGTTTTTTTTGTTCCAATCGAACATCATTTATCAAATTTTGTTCAATTTTATCTATTTTCCATTTGAAACCTTATAAACATATTTTTTTTATTACATTTTAAACCGTATAAACATATTTTTTTGTTTAAAAGCCACATTTTTATTTAAATACAAGGTGTTTTTTTTCTTACATTCAAAACATTAGTTATATCATGAGAATCAAACTAACCATAAACTTCTAATAAGATGTAAAAATTTGATGGGTTGCAAACTTTATATCTGAGTTTTGATTAACTACACGCCTCCAAACCTCTAAATACATTTTGTAGTTGCATATTTAATATAAAATACAATTTTTATATAACTAATACATATTTATACATAAAAATATGGTTTGAGTGTAAAAAAAATGTATTTATACAAAACTATGGGTTTTAAATGAAAAAAAAAAAAAAACATATTTATACAGTTTAAATGTATTAAAAAATATTTATATAATTTCAAATAAAAAATTGTCAATATTGAACAAAATTGGAAAAACTGATATTCGATTTGGAACAAAAAAACATAGTATCAAAATTGAAATAAAAAATTAAACTTAGTGTCAAAATCGAAAAAAAAAATGAAACTTAGTGTTTTTTGTAAGAAAAAAATTCATTTTTGACACGTCAGCATATCATGTCAGAATGTCACGTCATCGAAACTGACACGTCATCATGTCACGTCAGCATGCAACCTGATTAACCGATCAAGTAGTCAGAATTGTAACAAATTAGAAAACACAATGTCGAAATTAACACAAAATAAACATGGTATCAAAATCGAATTTCTGTGTAAAAATCGAATTTCTATATACGATGGTTCTCATTCAAGACTCCTACGATTATTCCTTTCAGTAATCCAATTTTTCAATAAGAAATCTTCCATCTATATTAAACCAAATTCAATCTAATTAATCATATTTACTAACAACTCAACTCAAACCCATTTTTATTTAAAAATATATATTTTTATTTTTATTTTACTTAAAACTACTAAAAGTATTAAAAATAATATTTTATTTTGAAACAAAAAGATATTTATTTTGTAAAATAAAAATAAATAAATTGACAAAAATTATTTTATATTCATCAAACATACTTAATAAAATAGATAAAAAAAAATAAGTTATAAATACGAGAGATGCAAACTACTTAATTATTATTCAATGTTGAATTTTTTCCATATATACTCAACCAAATCGTATTTTAGAAAGTTATGCATTTCTCTATTGCGAACTTTTGCCACATTAGTGTTATGCATCAACTTATGTCACATATTTTAGAAAAGGGCAATATGGGAAAACCATCAAATAAAGAGAATCTTATTAGTAAGGGGTATTTTAGGTGTTTTATATTAACTAGTTTGTTATGACTGATAATATAAGAGGATAGTGGGATAGGAAGTGAGATATTACTCTTTTGTGTGAAATTTAGAATTATTTTCTCTAGGAGATTGGCTATCTCGAATCAACTAAACTATCTTCATTATTGTAATCATTTGGTATCATTGAGTGTTTTCAATCAAGATTATGATAATTTGGGTGTTTTATGCTATTGAATATGTTTTTAGAATCCAATTCATAACAATTTGATATCAGAGCATTCACGGTTATGGAGGGATTATAGATGAAGACAAAGGATGTGGGAAGGATGTTGGAAGAGCTCTACTCAAGAAGGTTGAATCGCTAGAAACAGAAATATGACAGTTGTATGATCGTATGGAGAATCAAGGGCATCAGATCCAACATCATGTTGACTCCATAGCCTCTCTTCAGCTGAAGACTGACCAGAGGTTCGAAGAGGTTTTGAGTGTCATAGCCAAGAGCCGCCCAGAAGAACCCAATGGAAAGAAATCAACGGGAGAAGAGCACAACAGTGACCCTGCTTTTTCCTTGGTGAAAACAACGTAAGCGACAAACCCTATCGGTATTGGATCTAGTGGATGTTCAAGAAATAGAACAGGAGGTGGTTCCGGAGGCAGTAGCGGCGACCATAGTATCGGGGGCAAATATAGAGGAGGGACCAATCAAAGATTCCACAAACACAAGATGTGTAACGCCCTGTTCCGAATCATTTCCTAAGTTGGTGTTGTGGCCCGAAGATAGGTTACCCTCAGTGTAATACCCCGTTTATTAAATAAATAAATAAATAAATGTATAATAGCCCTAAAATCAATAATTATATAGCAATGTGTTGGTCTCAAGGAGCTAATTGTCACAGTTTTAGAGATTGGGGTTAAAAGTATAAAATCTAGATTCAGGTTGTAAATATTTATGAAGATAGGGGCTCCGTGGTAATTACTGGAACTTAAGTTGAAAAAAATGAGAAGAGGAGGGACTAAAAATGTTAACATGGCTGAAGTGTAACACCCCGAGTTCTGAAGTGCAGATTCAAGGTGCTTGGTGTAATTGAGGAGGATCGACTCGGCGAGTCGAGTCGCGGTTTTGGTGACGTGCTTAGTGACCAACTCGGCGAGTCGGCGGCTGGACTCGGCGAGTTGGTGCTGAAGGGAGTAAAACCCTAATCCAGGGTTTGTGGCATATATAAAGCTCATCATAGCCACCCTCAGCCTCTTTACCTTCCCACTTGAGATACAGAAACCATCATCTCGTGTGTGACTCCATTGTTGAGAAGATTGAAGTTTTGAAGAAGGAATTGGTGAAGAGAAAGTTGGAGGGAGGTGAGGATAACATCAAGAGAGCTTGTGAATCTGAAGCCTACATCAGTTTAGACTCATCTCTAAGGTAAGAGGACCTTACCTTAAGCTATTTCCTTGTTATTTCATCCATGGTGTGTGATTTGGGGTTCTTTAGCATAGGTTGGATCTATTTCGGGTATGGAGACTAGATATGAGGTTGCAACTTCAGATCTAGGTTGGTTTGGAGCCAAGTGATCAGAAAGTGATAGCTTTGGGGTGTGATTGAGAGTGTCCTTGCCTTAAACCTTCATTTTTAGCTTGTTGAAGCTTGTTGAGCCTTGCATGCTTGTAAAGTTGGTGTGAATCTGGCCCTAGGAGTCTAGATCTGTGTATTGGAAGCATTGAAATGACCTGAAATCGTCTAGATGAAGATGTCACGTTTGGACTCGGCGAGTCGTATGGGTGAACTCGCCGAGTAGTATGAATATATGCATGAACTCGACAAGTTGGAAGAACAACTCGGCGGGTCTGTTGAAGAAAACTATTACTTACATACATTTTCTTATTATTATTTGTGTGCGTAAAAATTAGTAATTTTAGTTTTCAATAATCATAGAATATTACAATAGTTTTTTTAATAACATATTTATAGAATAGATAAAATAAATAAATATTTTGGTAAATAGACATAAATATTAATTATTCATACATTAAAAAAACCATTAATTATAAACATGTTAGTAAAAATATATCATTATAACCCAATTATATAAAGTAATATTAATTAGTAAAATGTATGTTATCATAATCTAATTATTATAAAATAATCATTAAGGTGTAGTGATAAGTATAAAAGATGTATGAATAAATGATGCTTTTTGGTATATTATAATGCTACCCTAAAATTCTAACATTTTGTTCTTGGTCTACTGGGGGTTAATTTTTTCAAAGAAGGAACTTGATTTTTTATTCATAAGGATGTCTAGAGTTTTCTAAGAGGTACAGAATGTCATATGCAATCTGAATCATTTTTGGCTATTTTCCCGACTATTACATTATTAGATTATATATAGGATTAGGATTGAACAAATACATACACAACTGGAAATCGGGAAAGAAAATCCCATATATAATAAATAACACATGCCACATGCATACACATACTTCCAAATAAGAGCATAAGTAGCTTGGACTCTTTAATTCTAAACGAACAGATCCCATAGTTAATTCCGTCCCATTCAAACGTATACTAAACCGACGGAAAATCCCATGGGAATTCTTTTAAGTTGGGTATCTGATGCTTCCTTACGCTGTTGCAATAGCCAATATATATGGACCAATGAATGAAAAGTAGCATTTTTTAATCCATTTTTACAACAAAACGAATTTGTTACTAATTTATACACCATCAAAATGACTAGATTACCCCCAAAGACCCAGATTGGCTGTACGTGTGAAATCGTCGAACACAATGAAAACGATTCCATACCAAAACAGAGTATCAACAAATAAAATTTGTCTACAGCTGCTGTATAATTCATTGGAATCATCGTGTTAGACAAAAGCATGACACACCCACATAAGTCAACCATTCATAATTATATTTATATATATTTATGTATATATAAACAACACATGTAGCAGCTAGCATGCATTCTTGCAGGGTGTCCAAGAAACGTAACACAAATAATGGCATTGATTGCAGTGAAAAATGAAGAGAACTCTCTACGTAGATCCATCAATATGGTTGAAAATGAAAATGACGTTCCTGCCCTTGAACCGAGGCGTGTGAAGAGAAGAAGAAGAGATCTTACACTAGACTGTAAAACTCAACAGTTGCAAACAACAAACCTTACCCAACAAACGGATCATCCAGCAGCTTCACCAAGCCCAACTACTGTGAAAAGAAGTTCAAAGTTTCGTGGTGTGAGTAAACATAGATGGACAGGTAGATATGAAGCACACTTGTGGGATAAACTTTCTTGGAATGTTACACAGAAGAAAAAAGGAAAACAAGGTAACCTCAGTACCCTTTTTAATTATATATACTTTATTTTCCTATAACAAATCTTGACCTAGCTACCTAATTTCGTTTCTTGTTTTTCTTACTTTCATCTGGAATGTTGATGACATGTTGGTTGGGGTTCAATAGTTTATCTTGGTAAGTTCTTAATTCTAAAATTAGTCTTATGTTCAATGAGTAGTAGTAGATGATCAAGTTTACAACTTTTTATTGTTATTATGCCGCAGGAGCTTATGATGAAGAAGAATCAGCAGCTCGTGCGTATGATCTAGCTGCACTCAAGTACTGGGGTCCTTCAACTTTCACAAATTTTCCGGTATATCACTTAAGATTTAATATGCAAATTAACCTAGTAACTTGAAGCCCCATGTCTAGCGACATACCACAACATGGTGTACTATGTTTGTGACATGCCATAACATGTTGTGTTGTATTTGACATGTATTAGACTAATATTGAGAATTCGTTCCACCAAAAAAGATGGGTGGGACAAAATCTTGTGTTATACAAAAATTGTAAATAACATGATATGACATGACATAACATAAGATATTGCGTTTGATGTTCACCGGAGACAAATATCAATGTCAAAAATTACATTTTTTTGTGAGACAAACACTTGATCTCATATGGGCACAAACATAAATGACATGACACAATAGTTGTACTGTGTTTTTTACTTGCATTCGATTAATATTGAGACCAAGAATGATTTTAATCGCCAAAATCTCTCTTTTTTTTGTCCCTGAAAAGAAGTGGGACAAAGACTTCTCTAGATCTCTTGTCAAAAGACGTAAATGCCCTCATTATCAAAAATAGATCGTAAAAAGTCTTTTTAATGTAGCAACTACAATTTCAAAGATCCAAGTGCTCATCGATCTTAAACTTTTGTGAAGGTCTCCGATTACGAGAAAGAAATTGAAATAATGCTGACCGTAACAAAGGAAGAATATTTAGCCTCATTAAGAAGGTAAGATTTCATATAAACAGTAATATGATAACTTTACAACGTCTTTAATTATGAATTAACGTTGTATTTTCTCGTTTTTTTTAATAGAAAAAGCAGTGGGTTTTCAAGAGGAGTATCAAAGTATCGAGGAGTTGCAAGACACCATCATAATGGAAGATGGGAAGCCCGAATCGGGAGAGTTTTTGGAAACAAGTATCTCTACCTCGGAACTTACAGTAAAAAAAAATTAATCTTCAAAATAATATTTTCATTTGAATTTTTTAAATTATTAAATCTAATTAAACAAATGTAATTTTTGTCATTTTACAGGTACCCAAGAAGAAGCAGCCCGTGCTTATGATATTGCAGCGATTGAGTATCGAGGGGTAAACGCGGTCACAAATTTTGATTTAAGCACTTACATCAGATGGTTGAAGCCAGTAGCACAAGCTCCAGTTACACCCCAAGACCCAAAACCACATAATGAAATTACGGTTATGCCCTTTAACAACTTTGGTTTAGTCCAAGAAGAATCAGAGCCATTGTTCATCAACTATAAGAATTCGATACAAAAAGAAATAAGTTTACCCCAAAAACAAGAACCCTTTGAAACCAAATTTCCTATTAGCCCAACCCAAAAATCGTCTCCAACAGCACTTGGATTGCTGTTTCAGTCCTCAATCTTTAAAGAACTTGTTCAGAAAAACCTTAATGCATGCAGTGATGAAGAAGATGATGCGGAAGTCAACAAGAGGGGACCACAGATGGTCAACGATGAAGAGTATGATGGGATTTTTTATGAGGCTGATGAAAGTTTCCCGTTTATGAACTCCTTAAATCCAAATGCTATGAAGTTTCAAGGAAATTTCAATGTCAACTATGACTTTCAAGAACATTCATTCGGGTCAACATTGTAAGCGTTGATTTGAGTGCATCAATTTGGTCAACCAAGTGGTTCTTTTTGACATCCTTTTAAGCTTTCTACCAGGACTAGGGAAACTGAGGGGTTTTTTCGTTACGTTTCATATGTAATGATGTAAATAAATTTCCTAATAATCAAAGAGCTCTTACCACTTTATGAGTTAAGCATGACTTAATGTGGAAAAAAGGATTTGATAAGTTAAATAAAAGAACATAACTTAATGTATTAAGACACCAACTATTTGCATATTTCCCTTTCTTATTTTTTCCACTAAACTCAATCTCACATTGAAGTTAATGTATTCGGACGCTTTATTTGGTCCAACAAAGAAAAGTATACAACACTTTATCCAAATTAAGTAAAAACGAAACAGATTAA